ACCCATACCAAATGGACCATGGCAGCTTGTCGGAACTGATCTATTCACACTTAACAATGAAGACTATTTGGTTATCGTGGATTACTACTCCAAATTCTTTGAAATCGCTAAACTTGAAAATACTAGGAGTAAAACTGTCATAATTCATATGAAATCTGCATTTGCCCGACATGGCATACCATTTAAAGTAATCAGCGACAATGGACCGCAATATACATCCAGAGAATTCAAGGATTTCGCAAACAAATGGGCATTCAAGCACATAACATCAAGCCCGTACTATCCACAAGGGAATGGTTTAGCGGAAAAAACTGTCCAAACAGCAAAACGTATGTTGGAAAAAGCCAGAGTCGATGGACGGGATCCTTACATTAGTCTACTAGAATACAGGAACACGCCGTCAGATGTTGATTCACCAGCGCAACTACTAATGAGCAGACAACTCAGATCTATTCTACCCATCACCAAAGAACAACTCAGACCTAAAGTCATTCCAGCAGAGAAAACTTATGAAAAAAGAAGAAACTCACAGGATCAACAGAAGAGGTATTTCAACAGTGGACAGAAAGATCTTCCATATTTGAAACCGGGAAATACAGTTCGATTCCAACACAGAGGACATTGAATGCCAGGATACGTGAAAGATAAAGTTCATGATCGATCGTACAATGTAGAAAACTTAAATGGTGATAAATTTCGTCGAAATTGCAGAGACATCATCAAATCAGAGGAAACGAGTTTTCGAAAAGCTATCTCAGAACATGATGACCTAGATGACTTCAGTGAGACAGAAGTACCCGTGCAGCCAGTACTCGAGAAAAGTGTGCCAGAACAATCGTTAGAGCCAAATCAGCCGATACGAGCAGAAACGTATAAAACACGATCCGGACGTGAGGTCAGACGACCTAAAAGATTCCAGGATTATGTGTGATGTGATTATGTGAGGGGCATAATAATCCCCAAGTGATGTAATTGTGTGAGGGGCATAATAATCCCCAATGTTATAAAATTTGAGAACTTACCGGTATATTGAAAGATGAATTCATGATTGACTGTATATATTATGTAAATATGTTATACTCTATATCTCTAACTTTCAGTAAATTATGAATTTGAAATTTTCTATCTAAATTAACAGTAAAAGTTTATTTTGTACATTTTATCTTTAAAAGGGGAAAGATGTAATGATATGTACATGTAATCCGTTTTTATCCGATTCCGTTTATATCAGGTTGTTAATGTTTAGTCTGAAATGTAACTCTGGGGCAGAATAAAAAAGCATGCAGCACGACATGTCTTGAGTTTGAATATAGAAACATTACATATTTTTATAATAAAAAACAGAGTGAATGCTGTAGCAGTATCATGCAACAGATCACTAGATGAAACAAAAAAGAAAATACAGGATAGTTTGTCCAGTGTGAAAAAGAAGGAGGCTTTCCGGAAGAGAGAAGCATCAAAAACAGGTGGTGGACCCTGTACAGAAATAATTTTTAAGCCATGGGAGGTGTCTGTGAGTATTTGGTAGTGGGTTAAAAGTTACTTAAACATTTTAAAGTTAAAGTAAAGTGAGTAAATAAAAATTATATTTAATCATACATACACAAGGTGATAAAGCGATTGAGAGGTTCTGAGAAAGTATATTTGAATTCTTTTTTCTAGTGATGTTTTTTTTTATTATATCAAAAAAGTAATATTGTAGTCACTTCATTATTATCATGATCATTTATATGTTTTGTATGCAAACAAATTAAAGCTTACATATTTATATGTACTTTGAATCTTTAGCTTCTTGGTACTATTCCAACAGAGATGATACATGGATTAGAAGGGGCAGTGGATACTAAATCAGATGCAGATCAAGGTAATCCCACATAACGTACTTTAGTATACACACATGTACAAATGGAAATCACTGTAGGATTTGATATTTTAGGATTTTAAAGGTAAGGCCACACCAATTTAATTTTTTGTTTGTTTCATTTGATAAAGAAAGTACGAGCGGGCTAGCGGTTAAATAATAATATTATTACTTTTTTGTAGGCAAGATTTTTAGGTGGGGCATGAAAAAATTTGAGCGGACAATCGTATTTTTTCTGATTTGCAGAGTAAGTAGATTAAAAGTACGATAAATAGAGCGGAAATATACAAAAAACAGCACAGAATTCCCATGGTGCGGGGATTTTAAATGAATATTATTTGTATAATTTTGTTTAATACAAGCATGCGGGTCCGATAAACATTTCTTTTTATTGGTGTGGCCTAATGACTGAATCTTAGCTGCAGAACTGTAGCTCTCAATCTGCTCGAGAAAATTTGGACACATAAAGTAGAGAGCTACAGATCCAAGGCAAGCGTTATAAAAACCTTCCATTTTATACGCTGATGATTATTTGTCGCTACTGTAGGCTTTTATTTCGTGTAGTTTAATCTTTCTCTGACTATTAGATTGGTATCCTATAATTAATCATATATTTAACTATTACCCTTGATACTTTATATACTTTTTAGCGGTCTTAAACATATGCAAGCAAAATATCCGAAGTGAGCGACTAAGCTTCAGCGATAATCGAAGGATTTTACAATGCTTGGATCTGTAGCTCTATGCTTAATCTGTCCAAATTTTCTCAAGCAGAGAAATACACTTCTGCAGCTACATGAATCTCAGACATTTACTTTTCATAAATTAAATGCATATACAAAGAACTTTATATGTATGATAAAATTGCTTTATGATTGGAAATCTAGCTGTAAAATTTTGTAAGCATGATACATGTACTGATTTATACTCTTTTTTTATATCTGATGAACAGGTCAAACAAAGGGGAAATTGGATTTGAATTGTGATTTGAATTGTCCAGGAGCAACTGGAGATTGCAGTGCAACATCTAACAATGTTTCAGGTCAAAAGAAAAAATATATGAATACATTTTGTTTATGGTAATCTGGTTTAGTCATTGAGTCGATTTTATAATCAAAATTCACATTTTTTGAGCCCCCTTCATGAAATTCCCCTTTCCGTCTATCATTATGATGGTCTGTTATTCCTTCATTGCTGTAGCTTACCTCAAACTTTTTAAGCAAATTAAATGTGGAGTGTAAATATATTTATTTCAACTAGTATGCACTTAGAAAATATTCATCATTTAAGAAAAAAATTCAAATCTAATTGGAATTATTCTTACATATGAAAGACATTTTCTTTTATTTTATTTACATACACTGTATGTGCTATCTAATATCATCAAGATTTTTAAATTTTAGAATGTGTGGTTGACATACATGTAACTTCTGAAGAGCCCTCAATTCCATGTACTGGTATGTATGCATCTATACTTGATATCTGACACTTTTCATTCATTATTCATAGCTCACCTGAGCAGAAAGCTCAAGTGAGCTTTTCTGATCACATTTTGTCGCTGCCAAAATCATCGAATATTTGTTGACGTTACCAAATCGAATAAGTCTAGAGTTGTTCCAAATCTGACCTCTGAAGTGACCCTCTATGGGATGTTGTTAGATGTTAGTGTAGCGAGTATGCAAGCCGATCTAACATCTAATTTTAATTAGATTGGGGCCATAGTGGCCGGTCAAAGTTTTACATACAAACATATAGGGAATTTTTTTTCAATTCGTCTTTTTAAGAATAGCAAATGCATGAAGGATCTTATTTATATGGAAACATCCTCAGGTAACGTAGATTCAGTGTTGTTCAAATCATGACCCATTAATCCTTGACCTTCATGTTTGACCTAATTTTCAAAATTTTTCACCTTGATGATTAATTTTGGTGGTTTTAGCACCACCCCTCTGGCCCCAGGAGGGACGAAAACAGATAGCAATAGGTCACCAAACTTTACTCAGGTGTCCTAAAAATTTTAGCTTTAAATTTAAATGATGGAAATGCTTTTAAGCAATGTATTCTTTTGTCATTAGTGTTACTTGGATGTTTTCTTTTAAGATAAAAAAATTACCAAATGTCTTTTACATCTGTTTTCATAAATTTACATTTCAGCTTTGCCATCACAAACGTGCAAGAGTAAAAAGAGTCTGGAACCAGTAGGAAAAAAGAGGACTGGAGAATATGGTAACAGTTAAAAGAATTTCCATCATTAATAAAAACAAGACATCGAAATTCAACCTTGTGAAATTTCTATCTAGTTAAATTCATGACAAATGGTTTCTGAAGAAAAATTCAAGGTAGATTTAAAACATGCATGTGTAGAGAATGATATTCAAATGGTCAACTTTTAATAACCTCCAAGGAAATGACATTGTAAGCTAAGGAATTTGCAGTCTCAAGAAGTCTCAATTTATTGAGTTTCAACCGGTAAACTTTTTTAGTACTGACATCAATTTAATGGATTTATTGAAACGTTTTTCCACCAACTGAACTTTTTTTCAACATGCCCTTTTTTGCAGATAATGAGATGAAAGAACTTGTTGAATTGAAAAAGAGAAGGTTGGATGTTGAGGAAAGGAAGGCTCAGGCACTGGAGAGAATTGTAACAATATTAGAGGGATGGCAGAATTTAGACTCTGGACTGTCAGTTCCTCCAGTTATTGAATTTTAGCTTAAAATGAACTTCATTTGATTACACTCTGTATATTTTGTCTGAATAGATAAATACTTCTCTGTAAAAAATGCTTAAAAATTTAATATATGGTTACACTGTATTTCTCATCTAGGGTAACAGATAGTAATATATAAAATTATAAGATTATAGATAGTATTCATATATTATTTATTGTTACTACAATTTATTAAAAAATAAATTACGAAATCAAAATACAACAGGTTCTTCATTATTTCAGCTTGTCCTCCTATCTACAAAATAAAAATATATTTAATTAAATATTGCGTATGAAATGAAAGTTACTTAAATTGAAAAAAAGTCTATGGCAAATGAATTTTCCTCTAATAGGTATGAATTTAAACTAATTACAGTTTTCGCAAATACCTATGACATCATAGGAGGGTGAAATTACCTTAAATTTACTTAAAATCTTGATGCAATGTGTTGTCTCATGTCTTTTAAGCAAGGTGCTCCTCCATGAACATACATGTGTTGTTGTAAAACAACATGACCACCTTGTTGGAGGGGGATTCTCTCTTCAATTGCCTTGTTGTGGAGCCGGCAACATGTCTCGATGATAATTGCACATTTGGTTGGTTTGAAAGGCAAACATCCTCCACTTTTGTGAAGACATCTGCAAAATTTGCATGATCTGATTAATCAAATCCTCATTGTTCTAATTATGAAGGCTGATTTATGATATCAGTATGTTTTACATGTATATACATGTATTGTTCAATGTTCATAATGTTCAGTAGATGATGACCATGAGCACTCATGTAAACTTATGATACCTGTACAACTTTTTTGTTACAAATCATACTTAATAGAAAATAATTATGATGTTTTGAAATCATATCACATGCCTGAATCTGGATTTGAGCACGCCAAATGCCCTCTCTACAACATTTCTGGTCTGGCAGTGAGCACGATTATATCTTTCCTCCGTTGGAGTGGAAGGGTTATTGAAGGGTGTCATAAGAAAATCTTTCAACGGATAACCAGAGTCACCCAGCAGCCAACCACCCTCTGGCAAATTAGCCATGATGTCCGGAATGGTGGAGTTTGACATGATGTATGCATCATGCGCACTGCCTGGGAATCGGCAATTGATGTTGAGAAATCTAAAATAAAAGTATAATCATTATGACATTGTGTGATCGTAAAGAAAATTCAGCAAGAAGAGAAACAAAATGTTCTCCATTTTAAAGGTACTTAGACACAGATTTGAAGTTAATATTTTCTCATTTTTTCTGTATAATATCACGAATTATATATTTTGATAGCATTTCACACAAAAATTGATTAAAAATCTTATTTCGATTAAAAGTTATTAAAACTTTAAATTTTTTGGCGGGTTTGATTGACACATCTTTGCACTTTCACAAATTTTAACTTTATTCTTAATCCTTAGGAAAAGTGGTAATTTTGATGTGTTTTAATGAGAAATATTAAAACTTTTATCAATAAAAATATTTTTTTCAGAGTAGAAATGTTAGAAAGCAAAACACCTTCACAAGTATCGTCATTCCGAACCAAGAGATGCGTGCAGAGTTTAGCAAATCGAGCACACTCGTGTTATGTACACAGTTTTTGTAAACAGGGCTCGAGTTCTGTTATTGTTTATATTTAGAAACCACCGTGAATCACAGTCTGCTTACCACAACTGCACGGACTGACAATATATTGTGGGTTTCTTTTGCTTTCGAACGTGTCTACTCTGAATTTTCTGGATTAAAGTATTAATATTTTTCATTTATACAAAACGAGATTGCCACTTTTCCTAAGGATTAAGAATAGGGTTAAAATGTGTGAGAGTGCAACGATATGTCAATCAAACCCGCCGAAAAATTTGAAATTTCAATATCTTTTAAACGAAATAAGATTTTTATTAAAATATATAAGTCGTAATGTTATAAAGAAAATAATAACTTCAAATCTGTGTCCAAGTACCTTTAAAGTATGTTATAACTTTTGTAAGTGGACTGCATATACAAATTTGCAAAAAATATTTCTGCAGATATCTCTGACAACCCCTTGGATATTAAGGGCATGAAAGTTTTTTCTCGATACATATATGTGTTCATCCTCGGTACTCATCCCTTTGATGGGGATAATTGAAATTCTCCTACCACGTTGATAAAAAATATACTGTGGAAATGTCGTCTTTTATTTTCCTTAAAGAGTGCACTGAAGATGGGAATTAAAAATTCTGCAAGTGCTCACAAATTCTTGGCACACCCTTGGTAAACATACTGAAACGGACTGGAGACTCCGGAAATTTTCCGAAAAGAAATCAGCTTTTGCAATGTAACGCAACGTACATAGGACCTGAAAAAACAATGAGAATATTTTTTTTTTAAATTACAGGTCACACTTTTGAAAATATACGAAGTTAAAAGCTCGTTTTTTGTATTGATTTTATGTAAAAATTATGTTTTCATTCTTATGTAAATTATGAAATTGTGTTGCAAAGTAAAGTTATATAACCATATTAAATTAAAAAAACTATTTAAAGCGTCTGTGTTAATTGAATTTTCAATTTTGTTGAATTAATTATTTTCCCAACTATTACGACACATTCCTGAAATAAGCGAAATAAAAAACCCACTAGTAACTTTACCGGTCAACAACCACTGTTTTAATATTTTTTCTAGGTATTTACTAGGTAATTTACTATTTTAAATACCCTACCATGTAAATAATTATGGCCCGATTTTATGATTTTATATATTACCCGTTTGTACGATGTACACATTACATGTATAACTAATGTAGTGTTTTGATTTTTTGAGGACTGGACGCGCATGTAGGGAAACGGCATGTTTATCCTTTTATTTAATATGATATACAATTTGAAATATTTGCAAGAAATTTTACCTGAATGTTTTCGAAGCAAATTTTTAAGGAGGGGGGGGGCTAGTGTGAACGCAAAAAACAGCAAAAAAATTATAAAAAGGAAATGTGGTTTGCAATCTTATCTTTTGTGTCGTGTGTGTGATGTGTGTGTGTGGGAGATTATGACGTAAATCAACTCGAGTCACATGTGAAAGAGAAAAAAAATATTCATCCCCCCCCCCCCCCCAAATTATGTTTTCAAAAAACCTTATGTAAATTAATGTAATTTAATTTTTGATAAAATAAAGTTATAAAACCATATTAAATTTAAAAAACTATTTAAAATGTTTGTGTTAATTGAATTTTCAATTTTGTCAAAAAATAATTTTCAAAATACTAAAACTCATTTAACAAAATTAATGTAACCGAAAATTAAAAAAAAAACACTACATAAGTGTTAACAAGATATGTGTACGTCACTACATGTATGTGTTGTGTATGAATAAATGCTCTTTCAAAAAGAATTTTGTTTACCCTCCAAAACACACAATAAACAAACAGGGATTTTATTTATTCCTTAATTTTTAACACCATAAAGAACTGTTTTCTTTCTTCATGATTTCCTTTTAGTACATACTGTAGGGTAACAAAATTAAGATATTTAAGTATAATTTTATCATCTGTCTACTTTTACCGGATTATTATTTTCTTGACCTAACGGTTTATCGTTTAGAAACTCCCGTTGCCATAGGATGTGACACGGATACTTTCAGTTTCAATGTTTATTACCTGCAACTGAGTGGGGATAGCATGTGATCTTTCTGTATATGGCCGAAGTTGCTCATCTACCCCATCGATCAAATCAAAAATTATCCTTCGAGGGAAACGGTACCTAGAAATGAGCTTCGAGTCGTCGAAAGAATCCAATGGCTGGCTTCTATCTCGGAAAACACGCTGTTTGCGCAAAGAACGCTGCATAAATAATATAGTCGCCATTTTTATTTAGAAGTTGAAAACTAAGTGATTTCTTACGGCTGCTATGGAGCACAAGTAGATTTTCACGTAAATCTACGTCAAATCGTAAGATACGATCTTTAGTAAAACGCAAAATCGACGTAAGTTACGTCTACGTCTACGTTTACGCCTACGTTTTGACTTACGACCTTTAGTAAAACTGGCTACAGACCCTTACCATGCACATCTATAAATTCCGTATTTTAGTTTCAGTTTTCTACTTGAAAAACGAAATTAATATATGAAGAGAAACGAAATAATTAAAAGTAAAAAACGAAATTAATAAATAAAGAAAAACGAAATGATTTATTTGATAATTTCGTTTTTCTTTATATATTAATTTCGTTTCTCTTTATTTAATAATTTCGTTTCTCTTTATTTAATAATTTCGTTTTATACTTTTAATAATTTCGTTTTTATTTATATATTTATTTCGTTTCTCTTCATACATGTTATATATTAATTTCGTTTTTTCTTTATTTGATAATTTCGTTTTTCTTTATATATTAATTTCGTTTCTCTTTATATATTAATTTCGTTTTTCTTTATTTAATATTTTGTTTTTCTTTATTAAATAATTTCGTTTTTCTTTATTTAATAATTTCGTTTTTCTTAATTTATTTTTGGTTTGCACTATTGGGCTTCCGTAGTTATGTATATTTATTGATTAATGTTTCAAGCCGAATTGGCAATATTTCATCCATAAGTTGGTGATTAAAAAATACCATTATCGGCCCAGTTTTCAAAGTTTTAGGTTTCTCTGGCGGCCACGATATATGTCATGTTTTTTTACATAAATAACTAAGATGAATGCATATTCACTTTTTATTTATTATATTATACATGGTACAATTTACATTTGTACAATACTAATTTCCGCGCGTGCTGTTAATCGTTTCCACTCAAAGAGACGCAAACTTAAACCATCTTTAGTGGACATAACTTCAGTCTTCTATATGTTGGACAGTGAGGGTAAGGTCAATCAGGGTCATAATACAGGGCTCGTACGAATTTCCTTATTGTTACACATTTGTATGGAGAGTGCACTTGAATGTACATTTGGTGTCTTAGATTGTAAAAAAAGTTTATTCCTGTCTCTCCCTCTTGAATTGCTTGCACTGCTTCTGTAGCAGACATTATACACCATTTTAATTAGGGATGTCAACGAATATTCGAATATTCGAATATTCATTCGATGAGTTGATATTCGAATACAAATTTGTGATTCGAATATTCGGTTTTTAAGTATAAGCATTTAATAGAGAGAAAAATCTGACAAGTTTTATTTGAAATTGAATGAAGTTTGTACAGTTGACATGAATAAGATTTGATTTTGAAAAAAATTAAAAGACAGTCCTGTTGGATTACAGTGTGAAGAGTGTAATTATTAGAACAAATTATTCTTTGATCAGTGGTATAACAGTACCAATAACCTACAATCAGTTTGTATTGTTGTAAGGACACAGTTTTACAGAAAACCCATGGATCCCTTGTTTATGTATATATCATTAAAAATAATTATCAGGAAATTACTTCACTAAAATTAATTGATCTTAATTGTTCTTCAGTAGATAATTGTTTAAAGTGGTAAAAATTGGAGTAAGTAGTGTAGACTTTGGTAAGACGATCAGTTAATCTGGAACATATTGAAGAAGCTTTTGAATTTTCAAAAACAAATTTTCATTACATTTTAGATGTTTACTCTTCATATACCCTGTAAAATTTTAAAAATGTAATAAGTTTGCATTTACAATACTCTACGTAAAATTTTATTCCAAAATAATGACATACAACATATACTGGCTGACAGGAGATTTAAAATATATACTTTATAATGCAAAATGTATTTATTTTATCGAATATTCGAATATATTCGAATATTCCTATCGAATATTCGAATATCAATTATTGACAATTTTGACATCCCTAATTTTAATGCATTTCAATGACCATAACTTAAAAGCACACTTGGTGAATTTTCACCTCCCAATTCCAGTATAACTATTACTCTCTTCTGATTCTCTTCTTGGCGAACTCTTACAATCCTATCATTGCCAAGGTTGACAGAATATAGTTCTTCCATTGCGTATGTTTGTGAACTTTTCTCTCTCTCTCATATATATGTAACCTGACCCTCCCTCTTTTTATAGGGGCTATAATACATTAATAACGTCACAGAAAAAAAGATTCAGATATATTTTTAAGATGCAACGTGTAAAATAGCCCCTCTTCCTTTTTATAGAGGTTATACAAGTAAAATAACGCTAAGTAGAAATACTCATTGTTTGT